GATTGATAAGAGCGACGAACTTAATTATTATCAATGGTGATTTCAACAGCCGCGCGTTTGGCCGCCACGTTAGGCTGTACAGGGACTTAGAATTTGAAACACCTGAAGCGACCTCGTGTATTAGGCTTCAAGCCAGTTTTATCCAGTTCTGGTACTTTGAGCATTTGGTTTTACTTCATCTTCGGTAGGCTGCTAACTTTGCCTTGCCGAAGGGAACCTCCCAACTGGAGGACTAAACCTAAAGGGGTACGTGTGGCAAGATACTCTCGGTGGTTGCCACTTCTCTTCGGGGGATTCCGAAAACACCCAGCGGTGTCCGTGGTTTTAAACTCGGATCTTTCCGTTCGTTTGTTTACTAAGCAGCGCGCATTTCTCTGCGCCACACTCGCCACCGCCGTAAAATGTTAATTGTCATAAATGTAAAATATAACGCAAGCACGTTTCTAAACTGCACTTTCCCGTAGCGATTATTTAAAATTGCCTCTCAGAGCGTAATACAAATTTTTCATGCTTCCTTTTACGAGAAAACGAGCACACCTAAACGCGCGCGTTTCGGTTTTCCTTACGCGCGAGAAAGCTTAAGCTTGTTAGCCGCCAGTTGCGAAATACTTAATCTTGTATAGTGTATTATCGCGTAACACGTATCCGCACACATAACGGCGAGAGAGCCCGGTTGGGTTGTGTCACGTTATCACCCCGATGTGATAGAGTCTACGCCGTTCTATATTCGTTCTATTTTATTATCCTTCTCTTTTGTCCTCGTTACCATGACGATGCCGACGTTCGGAAGAGATATTGAAGTCATTCCCTGCGCAAATGACACTCGCTTGTCGATACGCTGCTCGTCGCTATCAATATCGATGTTGCCGATATAAAAATAATGGACGATAAAAATGAACAATGAGAAAAAAAAGATGTTACCGTCAGGTCGCTCGCGATTGTGCCATTTTCGTGATGACATCGTCAGCGCCGGGAGATCCGCTTAAAGCGTAATTCGAATTCGCAGATAACGTCAATCAGTCGACGGCGAGCAACGCCAATGAGAATTCATCGGCATCGATTTCCGGGCAATTCTCGTATCGAGGTATCATCGGAATGTCGCCGGCGGGTTGGAAGTTGATGATAGAGGAAGGGACCAACGAATTCGCCAAATCGGCCTAGCTACGGCGACAATTAGCTAATGCACGGAATTGCTTCAGCAACACTGTTACGTCTACATGGTGTTTGCAGGCGAATACTATGTAACAGTTATGGCTCACGTATTTGTATCTCGTTGACGTTTTGCCTTGTCACGTTCAATCAAATTATTTTATAGGATAGAATAATTGATTTTATAAATAATCTGTTATTATTTATCCTTAAAAATTTAACAGATTTTCGAACAAAGCAATTAATAAACGACCAAAATTCTCAAGAGTTTTCAGTAAAATAATTAATTACAAGGAATGCTCTATGGCTGATAAAAATTCGTTAACTTTTTGATACGCGTTTTTCAAATATCATGCCGTTAAAAAATATAGCAAATCGCTGTTTTCTGTTGTACAGACGAAAATATATTTAATATAAATCCAATATTAATTTAAATTAATATTCAATATTATTTTCGTTCTGGGAGAACTTTCTGCGGTGCAATTCCAGTGACTATTTATGATCGCAAGATCGCATTTTTCACGACGAGCGAACGGAATCGACTCGAGGTTCGATGACGTATTGTCGGAAGTGACGAACAAATTGGACAAATTGGCAACCGGTATCGACGCAACAATTAGCTAATGCATCGAAAGGCACGCCGTTGCACCAGCGCGGTATAGGCGAGTTTTACGAGCCAATGGGAGCTCTAGGGCCGCGAGAAAATTCGCTTTCCCAGATGCCCTCGGCCCAACCCCGCCGATAATTGCGGACTATAAAGTGCGATCCAACATTCGCCACCCTTGTGGCCAACCCTCGTCTTTTCTCGCAACGAACTCGGAGAAAGATCGTCGTATCTCTTTTCATGCTATTTTCTCTATCCTACTTTCTCGTTCTCTCTCCTTTTCCCTCGGATATTCGCGGCGGAAGACCGACAATCGCCGTTCCGAAAGAAAGGAGTAACGGAGCAGTTACGAGGGTGAATCCCCGCGTTTCCTCGGAGATTTTTAATGGTTATCGTTTTTTAATGGACCCAGCCTGGTACGTATGGCCGGCAGAAAAGATTACGGCGGAAGGGATGCATTGTTGCATTTAATGGCGAGAGATCGAGAATTATTTGGGCGGTCTTGAATTAAGGTAAAAGCGACAAAGGAAATATCTCGAACCGTATCCTACTCAACACAATAAAATACGGAACGAGATTTTTGTTATCACGCGACGGTGAAATGTCACTGTGTGAAATTAGAAACTTAACGTGCTATTATCTTGTGCGCACAATTAGAACGATAAATAACTTATAAAAATTTGCATGCGTGATTATTTTCACCGCATAATAAAACCTGTATCAGTGTTTCGGTCGTAAACACAGGATCTGGACCATCAAATTATCGTTCTATATTAATTTGTAGAAATTCCGAAATTATGCAATTTACACGCGTCATTATTCCAGACACGCAATTACGCAGCGCGTGACCGTTTACGCCGGCGCGAATTATTATTTAGAGCACCGTCGGGTGACGTTACATTGTACATTCAATCACCGAGCCGATCTCTTTAAAATGACGCACGAGGCAATGCGGCGATATTTATTATCATTAGCCGTGCAAGCGAACACGCTTGTTTACGCGCCGATATACGTGTTCGCGGTGCGATGGAGGCCACATCGTTGGTCGTAAAGGTTTAATCGATTCTCGACCGGATCGCGCACACCGAGCACACGCGACATATATTGCAAATCCCAATCTGCCGATTTCGTCCTTTTTACTATTCCAATGGCGTATTCGCCCACCTATATTCCGTCACATTGCACTGATTTCATATAATCGAGTCCGTATCAAAACGAGAGAGTGCACAGAGTGCAGATCCCCGCCGAATCCGTCTTTTTTTTCCGACAGTAAGAAATAACGCACAAAGAACATTCTTTGTTCTGTTTAGAGGGGGAAAAAATATCTTCACCGCAGGTTCGGCCAACAACTTTTTAACAAACGATCTTTATCATCCCTGAATCAGATGGCAAACGATTTTCATCGTCCCCGAGGTAACGGACAACCGTACAATTCGATCTCGGAATTAGACACGACCGCACTCTCGTCGAAATGCGATCGGTCTTGCCTGGTCATCGTAAATTTTTTACGGGCCTTTGATCGTGCCGTGTCCGCGATACTTATCGATCGCGGCCTGTGATTTCACTCCTTTCGTTATTCGCGCGGCGTACTTGACCCGCCGTTTCCATCACGTCACGCTAATCGACCGCGCGGTTACGTAAAAACCTTCTCACGATTTTATACGTTCCCCCCGCTGGTATATTATTATCCGAAAATCAAAACTACCTCCCGGCAGACAGCAACGTTCTGCAACAACACTAGTTTCCAATTGCAATTAGCCGCCAAGCAATTATGCCGACTTCCTCCGGCTCTTAGTCATCATCGATCGAAGTTACTCATGCGATGTTGCGCGAGATAAAATGTTAACAGTTGTAAGCTCTCTCGCGCTCTTGATTTTCAGCTTCTCGTTTGAAGTCCCAAGAGTCAAAAAGGAAAATAATTAGGTGTGACACAACACAATATAAAATCTGAGCTCTTTTTCTAAAATTAAATCTTAAGTCTTTTGGCTACAAATTCCCTGCTTAAAGACACAGAAATATGCGAGAGAAATGTACTCGATTTTCAGTTTCTCATTTGAAATCTCAAGAGACAAAAAGGAAAATAATTAGGTGTGACCTAACACATGACGATATAAAATCTGAGCTCTTTTTCTAAAATTAAATCTTATGTCTTTTGGCTACGAATTCTCTGCTTAAAGACACAGAAATATGCGAGGGAAACGTGCTCGATTTTCAGTTTCTAATTGAAATCTCAAGAGTCACAAAGGAAAATAATTAGATGTGGCATAACACATGACGATATCAAATCTAAGCTCTTTTTCTAAAATTGAATCTTAAGTCTTTTGGCTACGAATTCCCTGCTTAAAGATACAGAAGTGTGCGAGAGAGAGAGACAAGTCCCTATCGCAAAATCGAAGCGTCGCGGTACGGAATGAAACTCGAAGTGCAATTGCACCCTTCTCGCCATTCGTCAGACGTATCTCGTCCACCCCCGTCGGTTGTTCCGTCACGTCGCTCTGATTTCGCGTGATCGAACGCGTGCAATGAGCCGTACTTTCGCCGGTCACGCGACCAAAGTTTTTTTTCGTGCGATTTCGTTCGTGCGCGTTTGTAATCGACACACCCGCTACGTTTCGCGGTGTGCGAAGACTGGAACTGACGTGGAAACCTTTCGCATATTGCGAAAGGTAGAAATGCACGACAACGTGATTGACTGCTACATTGAACGCCCGAGATAATTCGTTATGTATGACAGACAAAAATTAAGGCGCTCTTGTGGCGGGCACATAAACCCGAGGAGAAACGCGAGAGCAATTTTCATTATGACCATTGTTCGTTCAGCCATCTGTCGACCTTGTTGAATAAGAAACGTAATCTCGGTCGAAAAATTGACCTCTTAATCTTGAGACGATGGGGAGCGTATAATATAGGGCGACTAATTTCACGAGGGGCACTACTGTCTGCTAGTCTAAACGTATATCGGAGAATGGAAAGGAGGACGGGTCTGGAGCACGTTTCACTTACAGCTCACGCAAGATTAAATACGTAAGTGTTAGGAGACGAGATCGATATTGATAACTTGGACCACAATTCAAAGACTGCAAAGCTCAAGTGAGTGCTGAAACTCGATTGTTAGCGTTAATTAATAGTGTCTGAAAGATGAAACTATACATGTAAATACATATTTAATACGGATGATATCGGACGTCCCATAAAGTTGTGGAACGTGCTCGGAAAGGGTGACGACGACGGGGGACATATAACTTACGATTCGCTCCGTGGAGGACCATCGTGTGGCCGCGTTCTACACAACTATAAGTGTCCTCGATGGCACCCACCGGTTATGTACCTCTACAACCGCGAGCCCGGAAGCGCGACGCGCGAAAAATGCCTCGCACCTTGAATCACCCCCGTGCGCGCGCGCGCGCGCGCGATTAGCTCATTCTTTCGCAAGCGAGTGCGACTCGGGGATACTCGGGAGGGAGGCGAGAGTATTCGAGACGGCACGGGATTCCGAGTTCAGCGCGAATGACGCACCACCATATGACGCGAGAAAATGCCGATGTGTCTCCCGCAACAGCCGATACTCTACTTCTCCCTCATCGAACGACGAATCCTTCGTCGGTCGCGTCGATCGTGCAATTCGAGAACCTCTCGTTCAATCTCTCGAACTCATCTTATCGGGGGTAACCGCACGGAGTTATCGAGAGTTCGCGGGAAACGTCGGAAGCGATTAATACGACGAGGATTTTTCGAGGTCACGAGCGGACAAATGGCACCCCGAGACGTTGGGGCGTCGCGGTCGTCGCAGTGTGACTGGCGAGACTCGCGATCACCCCCTTCTCCGTTCGCGCGCATCGCGATCCCCTCTACTCTCTCTCTTTCACCCCCCAGCACCCTCTCTCTCACGTCACTCGGCTACCCTCCCACCCCTCCTCGTCCCTCTGCATGAGCGCTCCTGTCTTTTTCCCTCCTTCGTTCCATCAGTGACTCCCGCCAGCATCCATATCTCGTCTTTTCTTTTCTATCGTATTTTTTGTCTCTATCTATCACACCCTTTGCGTCATGTACTCGCTCACCCTCCTTCATCCCTTGAGGTTTCTCCGTACCTCTCTCTCTCTCTCTCATTCTCTTTCTCCCTCATTCTCCCTTCTTACTCGGTCTCCTATCTACCCCTGTTTCTTTCTCTCTGTCGCACCCTCGGTTCTCCCTACTCGCCTTGTCGCGCGCGCGTCTCCTTCTGTCCCTCAGCAACCCTCCAGACACTGGCCAAGCTGGTCACGTGAACGCCAGCTCGGCCAATCGCGCGCCGGGTGACGTCATCCGCGTGGGCTCTCTCGCACGGTTCGGGAAAGAAGTCGCGGGCGTAAGGGTGCATTTGCGGACTCGGGGGGGGGGGGAGACGTGTTTCACACGGGGTAGGGATGGATGGCCGGTCGGTTCAATCTATGGACGACGTGTGATGCAACGGCGGGACAGACGATCCTCAAGATCCTACGGAAAGGATTAAGGCACCATCGCACCGATTTGTTAAAAGCAATTTTGCCCCAGCTATCCTTTTCTTTGGAGAACATCAAGAAGTACATGGCAGAACTGTTTGGCAAGTTGCCGCGCATCAGAGCTGTTCTGTGCACAATTATATTAATTTAATTTATTCTTTAGGACTTTTAAATAGATTTCTGTATGTGTTCTTTTCGTACGTACGTGTATAATTTAACACGGGAGTTTATAATAAAACATAAAAATATAAATATATAAACAAAGTCGGCGATCGAGCTTTTAATTTAAAACCTGTTTTACCAACATCCCGTTCATTTTCTCTTTTATTTTACAAACAATCCGCGTTTAATTTCCATCTCTTCATTTTGCTATTTATTCTGTTTTGCATTTACACGTTGTTACGTAAATTCATGCGAGAGTTTTTTTTTCCCCCTAGCGTCCATTGTACTTAATTAACTCTGATCCATTAATTCTGCAACGACAAAATTTCTCGATGCAACAAAACTATTACGCTCGCAAGAAAATTCTGCATGTCTGTCTCGAGGGGGAAAAAATAGATCGTCGATGCAAGTCGCAGATTTTTTCTCTCAGGCCAGGACGCTTCATGGCGCATCTGTACCATGAAACTAGAGGCAACGTACGACCATAAATTGCGTCGCACCGAGAACGGCTCATACCGAGGCCCATTTTTCTCCCGGCCGGAAAATGGGTTAGTGCCGAAAACCTTCCTGTTTGTATTCCGCGCTCGAGTTGGGCCTCCTTTTTTCCCTCCGCAGACATTACGAGGTCGTCGTCACCGAAATGAAATTCCGCGCCGCATAGCCGGATGATGCGCACCGGAGAAGTGGCGGCTGCTAACGCGCTAAATCAACGTTACGTATGGTTCTCATAAAAGCACGGGCTCCCGTAGAATCTCGTCGAGGCGGCCAATCGATTGAAAAACACGTCATTGATGCATTTCATTACAACGTGATTGATATACGAGTCCTGCCACGATTGGCGATCTCATTACGTTTTCACTCTCGCGAATGCCAAGATAATCACGCACGCAACAAAATCTACGAACATTCGTTGTTATCCACTCATAGGCAATATATACGCGAGTCAATCAATGTCTCAATGATTTGAATATGCCAGAAGGTTACTCGTGAATGAGTCATTTTCATAATCGTATCTTTTACGTGCGAAAAATACCGCAACTAAAAGAACAGAAAAAAGAAAGGAGGGAGAAAGTATAAGGCGTTTAACATTACTGAACATTCATTTTAAGAACAAAAAATCCCCTTTGGTGGTAAAAAGACTCTCGCACGACTTCGCCGTTACTGCGATCGGACGCTGCCAGATGTGGATTTACTAGGAAAGTTTTATGCACCGACAGAGAAAGGGAGGAAAAAAAAAGGAAAATGGAGAAGTCAGTCGTAAATCTTGTGCCTCGTAAAATTTTCCATTCGTCTTTTATTTGCATTTCGCCGCAACTTTAGCCCGGGAAAGACGGTCGTAATTCATCCTTTCTTATGCATGTGTAAGAAATAATGCGGGTTAATTCGCGACGTGTTAATTTGCTCCTGTTAATCGCCGCTAATATGATTTGAGAGCTTCGAAAAGACTTGACGGTTCGATAACTTTGGAAGAGAGCGTCTGGTGTACACCTTGATTCGAAAATGCATAAATAAATACCTAGGAAGCTAAAATTCATTCACTCCGCTTGGCACCACCGCGCCTGATGCAATGAAGTGTGGCAGCAAATCTCGTCCCTGTTACAGTGGATTAAATCCGGCGCACCCCAAATTTGTAAATAATTAACCGGTATTTGCAGTCGCCGATGAATTGCGCTTACAATTAGAAAGTAATTATCGAATATGAACTGCATCCGGATTAGCACGCATTTCGAATACCTCATATAATTGAGAATAATTAATCTAATAACTCACGTGTTATCATATCAGAAAAAAAGCTTCGTCGCGGCCGATATATAACGCGATTTAATCCGCGTGATACGTCGCTAAGGCCCGGTTTCATCAAGCCGCTTAACTTAATCTTAGTTCAATGCATGTTTGTCTCTTTCCAACTGTTACTTTAGAAAGAGACAAAGAACGAATTAAGCCGAGTTTACATTTAAACAACGTTGGTGAAACCAGGCTTAATAAAAGATCTAACTGTAATTCTTTTCAGAACCATCTAAGCAACTTGGAACGAAGCGTTCTGTCAGTCCAGGGACTATAAACGTCCATTACAGCGTTAATTCCGTTTCGCACAGACTTGGAAACAGGCTCGAAAAAGAGGAACACTTTGCGAGAAACTCTCCTGTTAAACCAGTTAAACTAGTGTTTTTAAATACGTCTCACAAGCTCGCGGAACAAAGTGAGCGGAACCAATTTTAATTAATATTTTTTTAAGAACGACAAATTAGCGACCCAGTTTTATATCATAGCCATTAAATTTTGATGTTTTATGTATAGATCGTCCCACTAACTTAATCTTCCTTTAGCGGAACATTATTTTTTTAAGAAACTCACAGCAACAAATATTTTCCTCGGTAACTTTTTAGTAAAAATTGATCAACAAAATAAAACTATCACCTAGAATTGATTCTGCTCATCTTGTTTCACTAATTTACATAATACATTTCAGAAATCTTGGCCCAGACGAAGGGACGATGCAATTTGCAAGCGTTTATTCCGGGGTTCATCGATATGCCCGCGAATTCGTCTTTGCACGGGGTGGTTTTGAGGACGTCGATTTATTCTCGAATTTATGAAAAAAATATAATCCTTTTTAAACGCGACACGCGAGCAAAGCCATAAATCAAGTCGGGCGCAATAATTGAAACGCAGGCGCGAGCAATCAAAAAGCAGTGGCTCGATTCCCCCTCACGAGGCATTCTTGTTTTTCCCCCGTCCATTTTGGTCGTTTTTTTTTACGACATGAACGCGCGACTGTCAGGTGATTCGAATCACACGAGCATCCGCGATTTTCCAGAAAGCATCCAACAATCGCGCCGGGGATAGCATAAAAATTTACGACAAGGGGGGAAATAGCGTCGGGAGATATGGTTGGTAGAATAGTGGAAAACGTAATTAGTAATAAACTCTATGTTTGAAAACTCGCACCACGCGATGAAAATCGACAAAATCCCGTCCCCGGGATCGGAAACTTTATTGGAGGCTATTGCAGTTTGTTTAATTTTATATCACGCCGAATACTCTGTGATTAAATTATTTTCTACCACACACGATAATATTGCGGTATTAAAACGAAATGTATTATTTCGTAGTATCTTGCTGCGTACAAAGGAATAAATCAAAACCTGAACAGGGAAAACATGGAAGAATGAAAGAATGATTTTTCATTAAAAACAATTACGGAAGGATACCTGATACGAATTTATTATCTAAATGCGCGCGTAAATAAAGTTGCAAGGGTGCTTTCGTGCCAATTAAAGTGCGTTTGAATGAAAAATCAAAACTGGCGTTTTTTTTGCAAACACGTTAACCTCGCGCTGAAACGATCAACGTGACGAATGCATCCTCGTCGATACGTAATGAATTTGAAGATGGATTATGCGAGTACAATGTACCGATAAAATTTTAACGATCGCGACGATTACCCGCACTCGTCGCGAATGAAATAAGCGCGTTAAACGCAATGCGCGAATCGCAGCGGACCGCTGTAATACAGCACGAGCATTATATCGTACGTTATTCCGCGTATTATTGTCCATGCCACGCCGATGAAAACCGGTACCTAATGACCCGCACAAATCATTGGCCGAGCATTGTCATGCGACTGCAAACTACGCGCGTGCGAGTGACAGCACGACAAAAAAGTTGCCTGTTTGTTCATGAACTGGTCAGCAAGCCGATTGTTAAGTCGACTGCACATGACGCAATTAATAATTGTAGTAACGCAACTTGCCGGTGTACACCAGGTTTGTGCTCCATTTCGTCGGCGTGTCTTTTATTTTTGAAATTAAAGATTCGCAAAGCAGACCCGGAAAGATATAACGACAGCGAGCATAAAAGAATCGTTTTCTAGCACAGGCATTATTAGTTTAATAAGACTGTGTATTCGTTTTTAATTTCGCGAGAAACAAAAGGGCCCGTAATTATGTGTCCGCAAAATTATATGTGCGAAGGAAACGTGGAATCACCAAAATCATAACTTTCCCTACCCCGCATTGTATAGAATTTAAAAACGCGACTAACGTAAATGCCGCACGATGAAAAAATAAATCTCGCGTGTTTCTTATGTGAATGACCGTCCGGGTTACCCAAAAGGAAATAAAACGTGAGTGGTGTGTGAATGGAGCCAG